AGTTTTTCTTCCTCTGTATCCTGAGTATCTTCTGAGCCTGCAGGATTGTTACATTTTCTGAAATCTCTTCTGTTCTTCCTGTTAAAGTCTTTCTTTAATGGTTGCATTAAATTAGCTAAGAAAGTTATTTCTAATTCTTTTTTTCCAGTTTCAAATAAACTAGGTGTGGGGGTTTTTGGTTGTGGTGTGTTTTTTTTTTTTTTAATTCCGTACTATCATGCTGTTTTCTTTCTTGGTTACAGCAACATTGATTATTGTTTATTTGTGTTAAGTGGCACTTAGGAATCCATGCCCTGTCATGCTTGGTGTGTGTATTTGCTTTGAAGCACCAAGTATGCCTTTGTTTGTGGGGTTTTTGCTTTGGTTCTTCAATGTCTTTTACTTTATGAACTGCAACTGATGCACAACCTGCTGAGGCAGGTGATGTTCTCTGCTCTGTAGAAACGACCTGGCTAAATCAGTAGCGAAGCAGTTCAGTGCAGCAGTGTGGGAGGAATTTTGTACAGGTGTTGCCCATATGTGTTGGGTATATGCCTGGAAATGGGAAGGGTGATGGTAAATTTTTTCATCTGTCAGTATATCATTTTTCACAAGAGGTGGAATTTTTTTGAAGGCTTAGGGGAAGGACAAATTTTGCTCAAGGTTCTTTCATTTTATTATTGTAAGATTTATAGCATTACCAAGCCCCTTATTTGGACTGATCCCAGACCTGCCATCCCTCATCCCTTTGGAGTGCACAGCGTTCTTCCTGTATTTTTCCAGCTTTTACTCTGAAGGTGGAAAAAAAATTAGCATTTGAACTATTTTTTGAAGGGATTAGTTTGTTCAGTCCTTACTTCCAAATTAGAAAGTAAGGAATGTTTTAAGGAGGCTTTGAGATTTCCATAGCTTTATTCTACATCCCACGATAGGGTTTGCAATTTTAGAGCACTAACGTATTTTCACTTGAATTTAACCAACTCACTTCCTGCCCTGTCAAAGTTGCTTTGTCTGCCTCAGTTCCCTGCTGCTCTAGACTTAAAGGTATTACCTTTTGGCCTGGATCCACCCATCCTGACACTGAAACGAAGGTCTGACTGAAGAAAACATTCCAGGAACAGTTTATCCTTTTCTAGTTGATACAGATTCTCTAATGTAGGGTTGCTTTTTTGGCTTTTCTTTCAGTACTGCTGAGGCCACGTCTTCCCAGCCACTCTGAAACGTCTCAGCAGTTCAGTTTCTTCTTACTACCTAAACAACTTTGGTAGATGGCCGTATGGCGAGAGATGCTATCGTGCAGTGGCTCTTGAGCTCCGTACTTCAGTACCTTGTGGAGTTGACTGGCAAGATCTCTCCAAGTCTGGCCTTTTCCTGGAGTGCAGTTATTCCAGCATGCTTTATTCTGTGTATTGAATCACAGAGTACCATGTTCTCTGTCTGGCTACTGTGCACAAAAGCAATTTTTCCTAATTTACATGTGTCTTCCAGAACGTCCCTTCTTAAAGGACAGAGGGCATCAATGTTGTCCGTTCTTGTATCGGGCTTCTACCCTGCGTATTTTGTTACAAGTACCTAATTAGGTGTGTTAAGTGCTAGTTCTCAGTAGCCGGTATCACTGAACCACTTATGCCATGGATAGGAAAAACAATGGACACAACTTTATGACAATCTGATCATGGCCATCTAAGGGAAGGTGTAATTTTTAACTTCTAGAAAGATTAAAATGACTGGGGACAAAGTCCGGACAAATGCTTCGGGTCATTACAAAATGAGGCTCTGAGCTGTAACATTTCTAGGACTGCCCTTCTCCCTCTTAGCATGTTCTGTAGCTTCAGGCACTGAATTGCAGCTTGTCCAGCCATTCGGTTCATATCCTGGTTTTCTTTGGGCTCAAAATCGTGCGTGTTTTGCTTTTTGCTGGATTCTTCTTTTGTACCTGTCTTTTGTAAGCTGGCACAACAGACAGAGTCCTAAGAAGAACTGCTCTAATGCACGTTTATGTTTCTCCCACCCCTCCCCCGGTCTCCTCTCACTCCCTCCCACCCCTTCCCAAATTCCATTAATATTTACAGAACAAGAGCCAGTACTCCAGCATTAGCCTCAAATTCAGAATGAGATTTTTCTGGCTCTATCTGCAGCTAATGTAGAAGACAACAGAGGTTAGAAATGCACTTTAAAAAAAAAAGAAAAACAAAAGGCCTTTTCATTTCCAACACACTAGATGAATTGTGTTAGGTATAAATAGGCCTACAAAGAGCAGAACACATGTAAGAAAATATTATATGTATTGTGGTTGGAAGGCGGAGGAGCATAAAATTATTTGCTCATTGACTAAATTAAAAATTCCTGAGCTTTAACTTGTATGAACTCATTTTCACCATTGTTTCTTCAAATTTTGTGTGGGGAGAAAAGAGTTCCTTTCTTCAACTTACTGATTCATTTACAGGATAAGCAGTAAAATCAAAAAGTCAAATGAAAAGATTTGCCAAACATGAAGGAGAACTGTGTTGATAGTTACACACCAATAATGTATAAACTAAGCATTTGTAAGGAGGTATATAAGTAAACTTTTACCTTCAGTCCACCAGTGAAGTTTTGCAAACATAGATTTCACAGGCAAACTGAGAAATTGGGAGGGGAGTGGAGAGAATGAAGAATTCAGATAATTTGCATTGTTTTATTTGACCCCAGACTAAGTGTTTTCTTTAATTTCTGTTGTTCAGTGCATAAAATGTGTTCATAACCTTTATAAATGGAGTCAAAAGTAAAAAGCCAAAATCAAAAGATAAATATTTCTGTTCTTCCAAATTGTGTTTATTTTAATGTTGTTTTATTCGTTGGAAAGTATTTGCTGACTTCCACTGTAGTCTGCACATGCACTTACTCCTCTGTGACCCCTTTCCATGAGTGTTTCAAGACTTGCTTTTCCCTGGCCATGGGAAGGATGGCTGGTGTCCATTTCCAGTTTGCATGGGGTTCTGGCTACTGGTGACCTCAGCTAGTTGCCAGCAGACAAATTTTTTAACTACATGAAGTAATTGGATTGTGTCCATGTTGTTGTGAGGCCAAGGGTTATTTCGGAGCATAGAAACTGATCTGCATTCTTTAAATGTAGAAGGAGTTCATCTGCACGTTCTGTGGAAGATGATTTGGCAAAGCAGTCTAGAGAAGCTGGCTCTGCAGTATGCATGTGCTGCTCTTCCTCTAAGGAATTGTGAGAACATACTTTAGCAAAGGATTCCTCAGTCTATCGGATACCCCAAAATACATAGTCACAGGAAAAGTTTTTTTGTTTGTTTGTTTCATTCAATATGGATTTATTTATTCTTAAATTTCTGTCCTTCCAAGAAGACAGGAATACCCATCAGTCTGTCCTTTAGTCTGTAAACTTGTATTTTTTTTTCTAAGAAGGGCTCTTGTATTTTCCTCTCTGCTCTCTCACAGTAGAATTGGGTTATTTCACTTTTCTGATGAACCTGTGTTTTCCAGATAAATGAAAACTTAGGGGGTTATTTTTCAAAACTGAAACAGTTGGATTGCCTTTTTGTTTTACTGGGATAAGCATCGGTGATGCTCTGGGGAATGGAGAATGATCTAAAATAAGCCTAGCTGGTTTTTGTTGTTTATCTGTTTCTTTTTGCATCTGTCTTAGTATTTATTGCTACCATCTGCATTTCATTTCAGGTTGTCTAATGTCTTATTCTGCATGTTCTGTGCCTATTCTCTTTACATAGCCTTGGGCTGTAATATCACCATTTGCCTACAAGAGATCCATGTCTATCTGTAACAAAATGAATTGCATTCATCTGTGTAATTCATTTCTAATGAATGCCTTGCTCCTCATTAAACAGTGATTTACCTTTGTTTCCCTTTTCTACACTGTCAACGCTAACCATTTTGAGGTCCTGTGGAGAGATGCTAATTTGAGAAAGCAAAAGTCAATGCAACTAAGCACTCACAAATGCCATCCTCATTGGCACTTTCAAAAATATTCATGGGACACTTTGTGAAACACAGTTTGCAGGTGGATAAGAAGACTCAAAATGTTTTCTTATTCATAAGCTTTCAATGTACAAAGACAACACTTCAGAGTTTAAATGCATTTCTCCTTGTCAATGTCTTGAACAGGTAGCCAAGCTTGTGAATTTTTTAAGACCTTGTCTGCTCTGCAAGAATTTTATGATCACGGGCACATTTGGGGAGACTATGCTCTTGATTCCCTGTCCCCTCCGCGCCTTTTCAGGAATATTAAAATATTTCAAACTTATTTTCAGAATAATGTTTTGAAATACTTAATTTTGAGATATGTTAGAATGTTTCAGACTTGAAAATATTTTACTTCAATTTTTTATGAGATTCAAAGATTAATATAGCCATTTATTGGCTTTGTGTATCTAAAGGAAAAGGATTAGTACCATTAACTAGTGAAGTAGGGGTCGTATAGTAATTTTGTTACAGATTTGGTCCATATGCAACTTTTCTGTAATGCCCTTTCAACCTATCCTGCAGCATCCCCTTTTCCAGCCCTGTGCTTCGCAGAACAGCAGAATCTGCCGTGTGTGCAAATAGATCTGTACTGCTGATAGATAATGGTTAGAGTATAAGATGAATTACCAAGTTTATTTTCACTTTAAACCTAAGCAGAGTTTGAAATGCAGCAACAGATTATGAGTAAGAAAATACTGTTGGTAAACATAATTTAAAGCAATACAGATGGTTTTTAGAAAGTGCTTTTATTTACAGCATCTTTAACTCTTATTTTAGTGACAGTACAAGCTACTCATTGACGCTTTTGATCGCTCACATGAATTTAGCTTGGCATTTTACAATATTTATTCT